AACCAAAATGCTCAGGATGTTGATATATAGTCAATAGCATGCTGGGATCAAGGACTACTATGGTTGTTAAAGTGAATGACTTTGACTTATATTCAAGGTCACTGGGGTCAAATTTGTTTAAAATCTTTAAACAACCTCTTCTGAATAACCATGGGTCCCAGGATGTTGATACTTTGCAAGTTGCATCTTGAGATGAAAGGCTATAAAATTTGTTCAACATAATGACTTTGTTCGACTTTCAATCACAGGGGTAAAATGTTTACATGTTCTTTTGAAGGAATTTTAATCATAAATACTGATATTTTGCCTGTAGCTTTATTTTAGATCACTTTTAAGGTTACAAGTGTGAGATTTATACCAGGTGAGCGATGCAGGCCCATTGGGCCTCTCGTTTTACACATGTTTTACTATAAGCTGTGAAGGGGATATGTTATTGTCCTAATCTCGTGGTCCAAATGAACTTATGGCAGGTGAATTGAATAAAAAGTATGATCAAACAGTTATACGTTTACGATAACATTTGGTTGTGAGTGTTTGATTTTGTTTGGATGAAATATTATTTTATTTATTTTACATTTTACAGGATCCGTCTCCTAGGTCAGACGATGAGAACGATCACAAGAAAATAAAACAGGCATTCCAGAACTCATCTAATCAGCTTCTACGTAGTCCCTCCATCTTTAAACAGGAATTCATTTTGGAAGAAAGCCGTCCTAAAGACATTTTAATTCATTCATCAGGAAGTGACCTATCATCAACAGGAAGTAAGGACAGGTCGTCTGTGTCTAGTGATGAAATGATGATGTCAGAGGTCATACGACCTGCTGCAGCAAAGCCACGCCAAAGTCAGCGAGGAGGCACCAAGAGAGGCAGTTCATCGAACACACAAACAAAGGAGGTGTCCTCATCATTCTCTATAGTTAGTGTTAACTCACAAAACAAATTTGTGTCCAATCTACGAACAATTGAATCAAAATGTAGTCCCGGTTCAAAAAATAGTGCCAAGACAAGTCATTCAGAGTTGGCATTTAATAAACAAGGAAAGCAGAATCAAACGCCCACGAAGGTCACCAAGGACAGAGTGGTGGTTCATACTCAGAAACTGGGGGCGTGTACCTCACTTCCCAGTAAAACAATGGGTGGCGAACTCACAGAGGAAGTGATGAGGCAGAACCTTCTAAACGCCAAAGCTTCTGAGAAAACTTTAAAGGATGTTAAAAGTGCCAAATCTGACAATAGGTGCAAGTCTGGGGATAAAAGATCAAGAGGATACAGTCCTCAATCACTGAGGGAGGATCCCTCGGTCAGTTCCTCTCCCAGTGGTTCAGGGCTACAGGTGGTGTCCACTAAACTGCTGTCAAATGTCAGGGAGGAAGTTAAAAAACAGAGAATGGAGAAAGGTGATGAGAACATGACGTCGCGAGTGTCTGGTAATTCTTTGGGAAAAGAAAACATTAATAACTCTAATGGAAATAAATCATCAGCGGCTGGGAATCCCAGGAAAGCTTCTCATTCACCAGCCCGGAGGTCTGAAACTGTGCCAATAGCAAGTGTAAATAAGGGGAATAGTTCAACTCCTTCCTATTTAAATCCAACACAGTCCTCAGTTACACGAAAACAAACCCCTGAAGTCAAAGTGTCGAAGTCACATTCAAATTTATCTGGAAACAATAGTGCAGTTACTGATAGTGTGAAGAAAAGTGCTGCTTCTGCTAACAGAGGGACAAGTGCAGTCACTGACAATGTACGGAAAAGTGCTACATCTATGACATCGTCTAATAGAGGGACGAATGTCCGGTCAGGGGCCTCAGTCAGAGAGTCCAAATCTGATGGGAGGACCTCTGTAATGCAACCGGCGACTTCATCATCTTCTAAGCCCTCCTCCTCGCAGAATAAACCACAACCCAGCAGTTCAGCCTCCAACTCAAGACAAACTTCGGGAGTGAGAAAGTCGCTAAGTGACCCAAATGTTCCACAGGAATCAAGGTCATCAACAATAAATAATGTCACCAAGTCAAGCAAAGATATTGGTTCCAAAACTTCAAATCTGAAATCTTCATCCTTGACCACTCTGCAAGAAGCAAAACATGGAGACACAAACACAAGGGGTGCCCTAACCTCGAGAACAGATATGAAGGGAAGGACAGCTGCTGGAGGGGATGTGCTGACTGAAAAGAAGCCATTTCAGTACAAGCCAGCCAGTGCAGGTAAGGCCCCCCTGGTGGAGATTGTGTCAGAAAGTTCACCTCGTACAACAAAACCCAAACATGTGGAGTCGAAGTATACAGCCCCTATTCAGACACCTGTCATTGTAAACCCTTTTGAGGACATGAAACCCTACAAGACAGAGTCAGAGGAAACAGCGACAGCCAGTAAAGTCAATGGGAAGGGTGTGTCTGCTACAAGTTATGGATATACAATTGGAAAACCTTCCTATGATAGGTCAAAGACACAATCTTCAATGAAAACTAGAGGAAAAAGTGCTAGAAAACAGACTTCAAAGGACCAGAAACCTGCATCTGCTGGACTTAATAGACAGGGAAGACGACGTGGAGATAAAAGTAAAGAGGGCAAGAATTCTGATGAAGGAGCAACTGGCCGACCTCGAAGTGGAAAAACGAAGCGTACAAAATCAGGGAAGAAGAAGAAGAGGACTGAGGCTGACAATGTGCTCAGTAAGCAGGCTGCACAGTCGGACGTGGCTCTGATTTCAGGTATTGGGTGGCATGTTGCAGCACAGTGTATGGACACCTCGGATGTGTTGGCAGTCCGAAGAATTGATACTGATTCCTCAGATTCTTCTGATAATGACAGTCTTGATGATGCCACTCCTAGGGAAGGACTAACCTACAAGCTCAGGATACCAAATCATCCTATGGATCCGATGTCAAATTCCTCCACACCCAGGTTCCTGGAAGTCAAGCCAGAGGTTAGGGGTGCGGAAGCTCAACTTCCTGTCATGTCACAAGATGGATACAGACCAATGAATTTGGACATGACACAAGCATCCTTTACCCCAGCGTTTGGTCTATACAACATGCTGGGCTCAGATCTTCCACCATCATCTTCACAAGTAGATTTGAATTCGTACTTCCATAAAATGGACGGAAGTATTATGGAACCTCCTGATGTTTTACCTTCAGAGCATGATGAAGCTATGGCTGAAATCCATCATAACATTCTGATGGGCAAGCTTACACCTATCCCCGAGTCACCCTCACTGAAATCCAATCATGTTCTCCTTAAGACAATGGAAGCTATAGAGAAGTTTGATCACAATATCCAGGCTGAAGTGTTAAATAATTTACTTGGGGTTGTAATACAGGATAGTGTTGAACCCAGTCCGAGAGTTGATCTCCCTCTCAAAGGGGCCAAAAATAAAAACAATGTTGATATGTCTAAACATCCAAATGAAAATGTTTCTTTATCCAATTCTGCACAAAGTGGCAGGCACACTAATGGTAAAATAAGTGCTCCTTCTTCCTCAAAGGAGAGAGGCGATGTCATGTCTGGAGCATCAGTTCGCAGCCGCAAACAAAGTTCCGAGACCAGAGGTACAAGATCGTCCTCTAAAGAACGGATAGTTGTCACATCTGGAGCTTCAGTACGAAGCAGAAATGGACGCGAGGAAAGAGGATCAGTGTTTGGGGAGAGGTCAGTGGTTCTGTCTGGTGCCACAGTCCGCAGTAGCCTAAACAACTCGGAGGATAGGAATGTGCAGGAGTCTTCTGTATTGGGAGGCTTGAACAATTCACAGGGTGATTTTTCAATAAAACTTAATCAGACTGATATAAATTACGGATCTTTATCTTCAAGCAGAAAAAAATCAAAGAAAAGTGAAAAAGTAGAAAACAGGCAGCCTTCTGGTCAGAGGTCAGGTGTAAAACCACACTCTCCTGAAAAAGTTCATATTGAGGTAGTGGACAGTGTCCAGCAAATTCCTCATGTTCCTAAACTGGATAACCTAGGTGACTGGGAACATTCTGACGATGATGACTTTGACCTCAAAACAAGTCACAGTAAGAAAGAAGGCAAGAGTACTCGAAGAGAAAGGAAGTTTTCTGAAACAAAGAGTGAAGAAAGAAATGATAATGAAAACATTGAAGAAGTGATTGAGGAGATTTTGAGTAACACACTTCCATCAGCCAGTTCTACATTAAGGTCACATGGATCTCACAGATCTGATGCTAAGTCTCTGGGAAACACATTCTCTGAGGCAGATACAGCTTTGTTAAAGAAACTGTCATCAGCACCTCAAAGTTCTCCTTTCCATGCCAGGAATTCCTCTGTCAGACAGTCAGGATCCTACGAGGACCTTTCTGTCCCTCATCCAACAAACCCTAATCTCCTGAACGTATTCCATGCTGAAAATTTCAAACTCGGACAAAAGGTGAAAGCAATGATTGATGCAGGAGCAAGCAAGTCCAAGGTCAAGGCGATGGCAGATGTTGATAACGAGGCGAAACAAATAGCGAAAATCATGAACAGTTTTAAACACATGGAGCTGTATGCTGGTAGGGCTCGGTCACCAGCCATACAGGAGTATATCCCTAAACCAGAGACAAGTTCCATGGATCCAGTTCCAGGAAGGAAACCTCCATTGGGACTGATGAGGCCGAATTCTGCTGGGGCGGGAAAGGTCAGGTCAGCAGGAAGGTTTACGGAGATCAAGAACGAGAAGAATGTGTCGGCTTCCAAGGAGAAATCGGTGAGGAGGAGCACAGATCACAGGGTGAGTAAACCTTCACTCAGGTCAAACATCCGGGCGATCAAGCTACAGTAAATATACATAGTAGTCATAGTAACAGTCAACAGGGAAATTTACAGTGTGACAGTCAACAGG